TTCAAAACCATCCCAAATCTACTGAACCATTTCAATCCAACCAACCTGCCTGCACCTCTAGAAGTAGTCAATGCAAAGGTCCCTACTACTTTGGCCCCCAGAATACAAATATTTCATACAGATACCGATCAGGAAGTAGACAGAGATTCCATAGGAAACAATTGGCCAGAAGAGGAGACAGAAACCAAATTGCTATCCTCCTTTTGCTTTTTACCAAGGAATGACCAAGCCTCAATGATAAATCATTTGGAAGGTCTGGTGTCAGCTTTAAAAGATCTACAATAGCCAAGTCCCCAAAAAGAGAGTACAAAGATTCCATACCAATCTACCCACAGATTGCCATTAAATCCTGTGAATGGCAGCCTGATCAGACCAGCCCTGGAACATGTAGTAATTGTGAAAAAAAAGGAACATGATATCACACCTCTCAGTTTCTGCAAATGATCCAGAACTGTGCAAGATAGAAGAAACAACCTCTGCAGTCAACAACAGCAATCCACTAAAACAAAACACTGAGCTAATAAGGAGGAGGAAAGGGACATGGAACCAGCTGTAAGAAATGCTCAGAATGCCATGAGAGGTTAGAAATTCAAGCATGACAGCACAATCCTAAAAGCAATCCAGGATCTGCCACACCATTTAAAGGCCTATCATGGAACATGGCAGGGTGGACATGCTGCATCTCTCTAAACTTTGATATCCCCCTTCCCTGTCATAAATATAATATTATTCTTTTGCAAGACTGGTGTTAGATGGTTTTAATTCTTTTAAGGTAAATGCAATAGCTGGACAGGGACCGGGGAGATTGAAGGGGTGGGTGGGTATTCTTACATCAACTGCTTTGAAGCTGAAATCTGTTATGAAACCCTCTCTGAGACAGTTAGCAATGGCAATAGTTCTAACAGGGGGCAAGAGGGATTTATTGATCATAAATGCATATCTGCCCCCCATGTGTAGAAAAGCAGAACTTGAGGAAAACTGGCTGTTACTAAAAAATTATGTGAGGACACTTATCTTAGAATACCTTGGTGCTCTGACACTCCTGGGAGGTGATCTAAATGCCCAGATGGGCCCAAATGATGACTTTGTGGCTTTCAAATACAAGTTGATTCTTAATACAACATCTGAGAACATTGACCACTGTCAAAGGGAGAGGCTATTTAAAGATCAACAGGCAAATTTTGCTGGGGCCTGCCAGTATAAATTCTCCTATAGACTGAGTCAATATGTGTTCAATGGTTTAACTGAAGGTGACATTCCAGGTGAATTTACATTTATGTCAGGATCCAAAGTTAGCACAATTGATGATATTCTAGTATGTAGAGACCTCCTATATTTAGGTGAGAATTTTCAGGTACTTCCATATTTGGAGGGAGATCATTTCCCTTTCTTCCTATATATGCAGCTAAACCCTGGACCTATCCATTTGGAGTCCAGATATTATACTCAGTTGCACCACTTGAAAGAGCTGGTTGCTGAACAAGATGGAACCCTAGTCTGGCACTTAGTCTAAGGGAGTTTCTAACTCAGGAGGACATGAACTTATATAATACACAGGAAGTGAGGCAGTTAATTCAGATCACATAGCCATTTATGAAAACCTCATACAAAAACTAAATCCAATTCTGGTTCATATAGTGAAAATTCTCAGAAACTGTACAACCACTCTAAAGCATGGTTTGATCATAGTTGTGTATCAGCAAAAAAATTATTAAACTGGCAGTTTTCAGCAGTACCAAAGATCAGAAGGTCAGGCCAGAAGTGATGCCCCCTCAAAACTCTTGATACAAAAAAAGAATACTGTATAAACTACTGATACAACGCACTAAAAAAGAATATACCAGAAAACTCTGGGGACAGATAATTGAAGCAGTTAAAGATTAAAAAAAAAAAAACCATCCCTCTTTTGGGGCTTAATCTCAGGTAGATCCTTTGGTCCAAAATCCCCTACATCCTCATGTATACAAGCAGATAAATGGGTCTCCTTTTTTGCAAAACTGTATGAGGATGTTATTCAAACTTCCTCTCCAACAATTCTAGGAAGCACCTCTAAATGGCCTGCTATAACCCCAGGAGAGATCTGATCAGATACAGACCAACTAAAAATGACAAAGCCCCTGGGCCAGATGGCATTCCACCAGAGTTCCTAAAAGAAAATGAGGAGTGGGCCGCTTTTCTGGCCCCACTTTTTACGCACATTGATACTACAGGCTATATAACTAAATCCTGGAAAACAGCCATTGTACTGTAGTCCCATTTTACAAGAAGAGTAACAGAGAGGATTACAACTACAGGCAACAATCTGACAAGATACTGGTCATGGGCCTCGTGTTACAGTATTTTGTTAGTCTGTCTGTTTGTCTGTCAGGCTTTCTCCCGATAAGGAGACTCAAAGTGGCTCACAATATCAGTCATATGTGACAAGCAGCTCATTGAATTGCCATGGCAGCTTCCATAGTTGCAGCTTTGCACAGATATAAATACTGAACAGTGTACTGTCTTGTATGTATTTAAGTGCAAGGAAGTGCAGCAATATCAGAATATTGCCACTATTTTATAATAGATCATACTTTTGATGCAGAGGATTATTTTGTTAAAAAAGACAACAAAGATGGCTCTTCCTTTCGCATAAAGGTGTGACACAAATAGAAATAAATAGATAAATAAACATTATTAGCCATTGTGTTGTTGGGTATGTGTTTTTGGCCCCTAAAAGGGTGGTTACATTTTATCAATAACAGTTCCCTATAATCAAAGTAATTAAAATGAACAATTTTTTTGGAGTAAAACTGAGCAGTATACACAATTAATAAAGAAAATTGTTGATGAATCTACTGAAAATGTGTAACTTTTTCTGATCAGAATAAAATCTTAATCTTTCAAAAAGGTTCAAATATCTGATTTTTTTCATTCCTTACATTCCTTGATTCATTAAGTGAATTTGAAAGTACAGTAAATTGAATTGTCGCATAGCTCAATTTAATGACTCTGCTGCCCCCTAATGCATTGACTGAAAAAACTTGCAACTTCAGTAGCTTCAGGTTTATAAGGGGTGGTCTGCTGACTTTATAGAAAACAGCAAACTCTAAATTATTGTGCAGTGATTACAGTTCTCCTGCTAGAGAAAAGCAAAGAGCAGAAACATGCCAAAACAAAAGGTTATCTGATACTACCTACGTCAAAAGAAGTTGTTAAAAGTAGCTTTATAATCTTGAGAAGTAAAATAAAATAACTACAATTAGAAACTGAATACAGTATTGGAGTTGCAGTTTCCAGCTGCACACTAGCATTTCATATCAAAACAAGCGATGTATGATTTCTTAACTATGAGAAAACAATCAACTGCTTCTAGAGGATTGTGGCATTTTGATAAAATTTATGCCTATTAATTATTTGTCTGTTTCATTGACCAGAAATCCATTAAGAAGAAAACCCTATTGAATCATGAAAACTATCTGAAGTAAAAACAAGGAAGTTGCTTATGTGAAATGAAATTATGCATCTACCTAGCTGGTTCCTAAGATTTTTGTACTCCGATATACAGTGGACTATACAGATAGTGGACAGAGGGTTTTCCCATCAGCTGCTACCTCATCCTTTTTTAAGCTACAAATGCCAGATACCAAACAAAGGATCCCCTGCATGCAAAGCCTGTGCTCCATCACTGCGTTACAGACTGCCACCATAAACATGTAAACCCCAAATAATCGCATGAACAGGAACAAATGGAAAAGAGGAAAATAAGTAGGCCAGCAACCTCAACTTTGGTGTGGTTTATGAGGCAGTCAGATGAAGATAAACTGAGGTGTAGAGAAGGTACAGCCTTCTCTTATTTAGGCTACCGAAAAACTCACTATATCTTCACTTCTCTAAACTTCAACACATATGAGAGAAACACTTCACTTCTCTCCAAGGACCCTATACTTTTTGGCTTTGAATGTTATCATCATAACCTTGAAGTTGAAATGAACCGGTAACCAATGAAGGGCGGCCAGAGTGGGGGAAATGTGCTGGAATTTCTTTAGTTATTAATCTGGCCACCAAATTCTGAACCAGTTGAAGTCTCTGCATCAGCTTCAAGGGTAACCCCACATAGAGAGCACTGCAGTAGTCTATTCTTGAGATTACGAGGGCATGAATCAGCATTGTGAGTCCCCGCCTTTTCTAGATAGGGACACAGCTGGGCAATCCTCTGAAGATGGAAATGGGCTGCCCAGACCACAGGTGTCACCTGAGTTTCCATGGTGAGAAATACTTTGCAAGCTAATATAAAACATGTGCTTTTCTCCATAGTCATCTAACTATGTAGTATTTCTACAGAAACATTTGGATAGCAGGGCAACTGGAAATGCTCCTTAAATTTGTCACCCCACCCTATAATTTCTGGTGTGTACAAATGAGTTGCCTGGAATGGGAAATAATAAAGAAAACGTGTGGCTATGACTCGATGTGAATATTTGTAGATCACAGCCTACAATGTCACACTGGATTTTCCATCTTCAGAAGCTAGGATCCTGAAGGGTGAGTGTGCTTCCACTTAGGTCCCTCATTCATCTTTGTTTGGTGTCTTAGATTTCACAATAGCCAACAGCAAACTCTTTGAGGAGAAAGCTCACAAAACACTTCACCCCGAGCTTATTTTTAAAGCATCTTTTCTCTTATAAGAGAATTTTTTCCTGACTGCCAACAGTGATATAAGCAGGAGAAAATTTAGAAAATTTATTTCAGTGATTGTGAAGGACTCAGTTCAGCTGCTAACCATTTCAGACTGGAAAGAAGCCTTCCTCCCCCGCCCTCTATAAGCAGATCACTTCTTCCAAAATTGAGGCTCAGCTGCAATTCATCCTCAGCCTTTGGGTTCCTGATTGTTAGAAGCAAGCTAGATCCAGTGCCCTCCTCAATATATTGGATAAGCTTTCTGTTTAGTTCCTATCCTCCTGTGTGTACATTCTGATTGCAGCTCAAGATGCACATAATAACATGATTTTAAAAATACTTACATTTTTTGTCTGATAGTATGCTGGGCCCAAAGTACTGTCTCTTGGAGGAGGCTTATGTTTTATAAGTGTCCCATCCTCCAGCTCTTCATAACCATATGATTGTCCTTGGGAAGGGATAGAAGGAGCCTCTGACTTGCGGAAGATTTTGATACTGTCTGCAAGTCTCTGAAGAAAAAAAATGCAATATGATTTGTTGCTGCTGCTTCTGACAAGCTAACATAACATACTAGTGACCATGTCCTGTGAAATTTATTTTATAAATTGAGATGGGGGTATTCTTAACTATCCACTCCTGGCAAGAGGGAAGATGAGTCTCCCTGCCAGGCTGACAAGTGGATAGCCTACTGCAAGCTCTGGAGCTACTGAAAGGGAGAGAGGAGTTGGTGGTAGCAGTGGACACGTGAGTGGACAGTCTGACCCCTGCATCTCTATCCCTCATTATGTCCATCAGTGTGGGGGTATTCATATATGAATACTCCCATCTCTATTTATAAAGCATACATTTAACTCTTCTTAAGGCTGGGAGGGACCTGATTCACAGGCATTTTTCTAATCTTCGATGGCTCCAGACTCAGCAAGATTCAGACTAGGACAGGTCTAAGAAATCATCTGCCCAGAACTAACCCCCACATGCTTCTCAACTCCTAAACAGAAAATGACACACATTTTTCATGCAGAAAAGCACAGAATTACTGTACTTGTATACGCCTGTTTTTGCATGGAGAAACACAAATAACAGCTGGAGGGGGTAAACATTCTGCATAACATTACGTGGCTCAATGGCTTTATTCTGGAGACTAATTTGCTTCTATCTCCTTTTTTTAAGGAATACTCTTAAAAAAGTATATACATCCTTACTGTGTATGTTTGATTTTAAAAGTATTTTATACAATATTGTTTTTTATTTTTCATAATCTTGCACCAAGTTTATGAAAAATATAACCTACAAACAAATTAGATATCTGAATAAGTGACATGAAATGGTTAATGCAGCTACAGGTGATACGCAAAGCATATTAATAAAAGGCCTGAGTGCCATACCCCATTCAAAAATAATCTGAAGCCTTTGTTTATAATCACTAATCCTCTTGTGTCTAATACTTTTAGAAAACTCACAGAATTTCCTTCCATTTAAATAGCTTTTCACTTCAGGCTACTCATTTTTGAGAACAATAAATAGTTAAGGGTCTATATTTCTACAGATTAAAGTGATTCTATTTTGATTTCCTGGCTCTGAGCTCTTTTTAAAGGAAATTAGCACTTGGATTTCAGCTGATCTAGTTAGTTTCCTTAGAGTAGGAAAGTGAAAAATGGGCTGCTAATCAAGTTATAGGCAAGTGGCTACCCTGAAGAACATCTAGAATATGATGTACTGTGCTTGACACAACCAGCATTTTCAAAATACACTGCTTCTCCGAACCAATATTTGGTTGGACCAAATTTATTTATAGTTTCACTGGAGTATATAATTCCTGATGGTCTTAGGATTCAAAGGTACTCCACATTTAAAAGCCCTCTGACTCCCAACAACCAAAGACTTTGGATCTAGTGATGGAGTATATTATAACTTACTCTTCTTGGTTTAGCCATTTAGGTAGGCTGCTCCAGCTTCCACAGTCTTGGCAGTGAGGAATTAAACCAATTTGCTCTGCCAAAACTCAGTGGAACAGAAGCCTACTATTCTATTCATCCTGCATATAAGGAAGTGCCACCTAATGATGAGTAGATGATATAGAAATTTGACATTTTGATTTGGAATGCTGATAACCCTTGCATGTGGAAGAGAGACAATAGGAAAGGGCGCATAGCAAGGGAAAAAGATAAATTTGGTGGTGAGGATAGCACATCATACTGTAAAAATGATAATACTGTCCCGATTACATGTGCGTTTTCTATACAGCACCCACAGCCACTCTCTTATAGTTTCAATGACAGCAGATGAGACTTCCATGTAAATTTCTCGGTGTTCACTAGAGCAACCATGTTCTTCTCTACAGAGAAGTTACCGGTATATCTGTAGTATGAATGAATGAATGAATGAATGAATGAATGAATGAATGAGCTTTATTATGGTCACTGACCAGCAGATATATCCAAATGGAGCTAAAACAGAAAATTACAATGAAAGGTAGCATAAGGTAGCAATAATAATATCACATATACACAATCTTTTACAATATAACTAAATTAGATGGGGCTTCCTTAGTTTCACTGGATTGAGTTCAGTACATAAATTCAGTAACTCTATACCACCTCCAGTCTCATCGTCTTAAGTAGTGTGGCATATAGCATATAGGGTGGCTAGTAATAGAAACATCAATAGAAAAATGTCACAAAGGAAACAGCCTTCAGTGCTGGCAGCTAATACAAGCAACATAACAATGGCAATATTCCCCTTTTTATGCTGGCATACCTGTGCTGCAGTGACTTTAAGTGGTCTCTTTGCCTTAGTGATGTCTGGACCTATTAAAGGAGGTTGGCAATAAGTTCCAGGACCAGGGGTATCAGCGCGGAACTCCTTGAAACGTTTCTCTTTGTACTGAAGACTCTGCCCTCCTTTAATAGTTTTCTGGAGTTTAGGAAATATAACAGAAAATAGCTGTTGAGTGTTATGTATAAACAACCATGTATCTACTGTATATCAGAAACAGTCAAGTAGCACCTATAAGATTAACTGATTTTTTTATTTTTCATAAGCTTGCATGTGTCAAGTTTATGAAAAATAAAAATTGCAGGATAGCTCAGTGATTTTAGATCTCTGGCTGCAGAACCAGAAATTGAGAGTTCAATTCCCACTGTGCCTCTTTGACAAAGGCTGGACTCGATGATCCATAGAGTCCCTTTTAACGCTGCAGTTCCAAGACTGTTATATATTATATAAAGCTGGTTCATCTTATAAGTATTACATAAGTATTTTGTTATAAAACAGACTAACATGGCTACCTGCTAGATCATCTACATATATGACACCCTTCAAAAAAGGTGAAGACAAATTATACTCCAAATGGTTACATTCCAGAAAATGAATATAATAAGTAAGACTGCAAAGGAACAAGAGGAAAAGAATAAGAAAATGAAAGTGATTACTTCAAGTACATGTACTGTACTTAGATTTCAATATACCGTAGATGGGATACAATGGACCTCTGCAAATCTTTTAATATATATTTTAAAAGCTTCTTGTTTCTACTGCAATAGGATGTGGTTTCTTTGATAAAATAACTGATAGAACTTACATTATGAAAGGTTGAGAATTATTGCCATAAACAAAGTAGAAAAAATTAATTTTTAAAGTATACATGATTGAACTAGTTTTGATTGATCTTACAGTCACTGACCAGCAGATGTGTTCAAATATTAGTATAACACAAAATTACAATTAAAAACATACAACCTATTGCAATGTGACTAAATTTTATAGAATCTCCATAGTTTCACAGGACTGAGGAGATCAGTAAATCAATTCAGTAAACTGTACTGGCTCCAGCCTTATCATCCTAAGTAGTATGGCATATAAAGTACAGTATAAGGTGACCAATACAGACCATGACTAAACATATGGCACTGCTTTAATCGGTGGAAGGAGAGAACAGCGACACTTCATTGCTGCCACACAAAACTTCAACAGTGGTTTAGTTATAACAGATTCCTTATCCGAGAGTATGAGCACAATATAAAATTCTCTGGAGGACTGAAGTGAAATATCATAAGCATTTCATTTCCCACAAGGATTTTCCAGTTTTTTAAACAATAAACTTTTGTTTCTTTACACAGATCACAAAGCATAGAGGTAAATTTCATGCTTTTATTCCTAAATAGCTTTGATGAAATGAATAGCCACACAGGTGTATTCACCATTAAACTAGGAGAAAAGATACAAAAGGTGCCAATAACAAAATGTAATGTTGTTCCACTTGGAGTGGCACAGTTACTACTGGACAACTAGTGCAAGCATGCAGCATCTAGTTTAATGACGCCACAATAAGACGTACACCATTTTGTGAAAGCAAAATTAGATTACTGGATTTAACACCTGCACAAGGATGAAAACATTGTTTCTGCAAGTAATAAAAAATCTATGCTAGCAAAATGACACAAAAACAATCCTTAATATCTGGCATTTTTTAAGTAGTTAACATTTTAAAATGATAACCGTACAATAAGTACGTATATCTAAGTATCCTATCTAAGTATAAAATAGTTCAGCTCTGACATTTTAGCAGTAACCAGCTGTTACCTGTAGCAATACCAAAAGCACCTTTTCCCCTGATATAATCAGGTCAACGCATATTATATCAACTAAGCTATAATTATATCAGAAATTATATATCATTTATGTCAGATATATACTACTACCCATAAATATGAATACAAGCTTCACAATTTTGAAAGACACACAGCAAAAAATGGGATGAGTCCCAAAGTGACTCAGTACTACATATGTACAAATATCAAGTCCTCTACCAACCTGAATGACATAAGTTTTAATTAAGATTTAAATATCTGCAATAGAGACTTGTGGTTGTTGCAACCATGTCTCAGACAACAGAAAAAACACAAATCTAATTCTATGCCTTAACCATATTTGTACACCAAACTCAAACCATAAGACAGGAGTGGACAGCTGTGGCCTTGCATATACGTCTGAACTCAGCATAGCCAATGTGAAGGGATTGTATAAATTCCTTTCCAAAATACCTGGAAGACTGCAGTTGTGCCAGAAAGAGACAGGAGAACTACACTGCACAACCTGGAGAGCAGATGATGGGGTACACCTTCACCACCAGTTGAGCACCTGAGTTTAATACAGGTTCACTTACAAATACAGTACACAGCTTTGCTTACATATGCTCAAGTGGCAGCAAGTGTCTTGCAGTGACTTTCACTAGCAAAAGCTGATACACTATCTACAACATTTCCTAATCTAGCCATGGCAATTGATAAATTCTACCAAGTCAGTAATCTCAACCAATAAGGGGTACAGAAAAATAGATCACTAAGTCTTCCATATCTTTCTCCTTTCTTCTGTTTTCTAACCACGTGCTAACATATAAATTGGTACACTCATGCTTTACCTCCTCCTTTTCCTCTGATGTTAGAGCAGCTCTTGCTGTACTTTGTTAGATAATGTACAGTAGCTTAAGCTTCTTTCTTACTACATTATCATGGGATGATTTCCTAAAGCAATGAACTGAACTTCTCTGTTTTCTATTTCTGGGTAAATACTAATTTCCAGAGCAACTACAGTTCAATAGTTGTAAATTCCATGCCAGCCAGTATTGGTCATTAAAATACTGGCTGAAGTTCAATGAGACACTGTAAGAGAACCTCCCTCCATCACAATATTCTCAAGGACAGTTCCATTTAGTTCCACCACTACTTGATTTTTGTCCTCTAATAAAAACCTAATCTGGAAGACATTCAATTATGTGTACAGTTTCTGCTTCTGATTGCTTTTGAATACTGATCAATAAGATTAGCTTATTGATCACTTTTGTTAATTTTTTGTGATGCTTGAGGCATGGGATCTGTTCCTAGTTATTGTTTCCGTATGTTCTTATATTTTGTTTTAATTATATGTCCCTTAACCACTTTTAATACTTTGCAAATAAAAGCTTCTATTCAAAGAAAGTATACTGGTTTAAGGTATAAAAGCTGTTCTGCTTTCCAAGTATCCAGAGCTCAATAAAAAACTCCATCCTAATAGGTAACCTATTAGAAACTTTGAGGGTGCCAATAAAAGCTAATACCTTCAATCTTGCATTATTGTACTCAAATAACAAAGGGGGGAACCATGCTTTTCTATACTTTACATTACCTTCCAGACTGTCAGAAATGATCTGTACAAGAAATCTCACTTTTTTTAAAAACTGGAAAGGGCAGCCAAATTCAAATCTGCTTTGTCTACATTATAAAATGCACTTTGCTTGCAAATAATATAGGTTATTGAATACAAGCTGCAACAGTGAAGATGCTTTGCTTTTTCCTTTTCAGAGTATCACCCTGAAGAAAAAGCTGAAAGGCAGCCTCCCTGAACCTTAAGTCTGCCAGGTGTACTAGACTGCAACTCCCATCAGGCCCAGCCAATGTGGCCACCCTAAAGCATTTATTTCGGCCTTTAAAATACAATCATGGAAAACCTAAACATAACATTGATAGTATCCATATTTAACCATAGGCAACAAATCTAGCATATCTAACAGTATGTTCCAGTGATTACATCTGCAATTTCTTCAATATTTATGCCTTATTTATTATTATCTATATTTAAATTGGTTACTGTAACTTCTTTATCCATATTTCACAGATGGAGTAACTTCCTTTGGCAATCAAATTAGACATCTCCGTTTTAAACATGATATACTGCACAGCTATGGAGCCTGAAATTTTTGATATGTTGAATTAAAAAGTAATGTCTATTCAGAGTCACTCATCACAAGTTCTGTGATGTATGGTCATTTTATGTTACTGTCTGAACAGTCACCATACTGAGGTAATTAACTGTGACATGTAAGTCTAACAGACAGAAGAAAAATAATCTTTTATACATATACACGCTATTGCTTATAGCCACGGGCATGGGCAATAAAAAAGTAAAACATTATTTATATATATATCACAATTATTACTCAAGCAGAAAACAAATAAAACCATTCACACTTAAGAATATGTTTAATATCAAAATGCTGCCTGTAATATAGGGGGGGGGATCAAAACTGAGTAAAAAAAATGAAAAATGTAAATCATACCACAATGCTTATACTATCTGTGCAATAAAGTAAATTTTGCAACCCTCCCATAATAGCTGAATAGAGGACAATCACGTGAACACAAATAGAATTATGTCTTCAGACAGCACCCAAATAATTGAATTTGTTGCCACAATCTACAATGATGGACCACCAGCCTGAACAGGTTTAAAAGGAGGTATCAATGGCTACCATTCATAATAACTGCTATAAGCTATCTTCAGGATCAGGAACAGCATGAAGAATGTTTTCAAAACAACCAAGGGTGGCAGCCAAAAGCCTCACCCATTTACACACACACCATACACATCTATTGATTCCAAGAGAAGAATTTGAAGACTGGGCTTTTGGCTCCATTGACAGCCTACCTGAACTAACTGCTCAAAGCATACTCTGCTCCTTCACAGAGACGTAATTCAAAGTCTGAAAAACGTCTCCAGTTCAGATTTTCGTTTGCTCTGGAAAGGACTGAAGAGTCCCTAGACCTCACTTTTCAGTTGCGAACAGTATACAAAGTGCTCAACTCACATGGAGAATCCTCACAGATAGCAGACTTCTCCTTCAGACGTGTCCACTTTCCATGTAGAAGACTGACAAAACTGGAGATGAGCAGGAGTGTGAGAATGCTCCCCTCCACACATGAATAATCCCCACATTTTTAAACTTCTGAACAGGCTTAAAGTATCTGACCAGCAAGGGAGACATTAAGTGTCTCATCTGGACAAAGTATAGGTATGTGTAATGTCAATGTAGCTTTCGATATACGGCTCTATGTATGCATCTCTAGTCAAAAGCTGAATCGGGGCTTACTTCTGAATAAGCTTAAGTTGCAAAACAATGTTTCTAGAACACGGCACTGAGACTGGGAAATTACCATAATGAAAAAGAAAACAAAGGCTGGGTTGTATTCATCTGTTCATTTATTTCCATTTCTATACCACTCCATTAGTGTTGCCACCCTCTGGATGGTTTACAATATGCAATAAAATCATAACAACAGAACATAATAAAAACAAAAAAAAAATAAAACATAATTAAACCTGGTCACTTTAACAAACTGATAGCTCTCCCACCTCTCAATATGAGAGCAAATTCAAAACAATTTGCTTAGTCACCGGCAAAATAAAGAGTATAGTATCTAGACTCTGTTTCACCTATCTAAATAGGGAGCAGCCAGGGATAAACTTGTGCATTACTGACACTGAAAATATTTCATTTCAAGAAGAATGCAACATGTACGTCCACACAAACTAATTATAAATTTAAATTATATTCAGCTTTGCTTTACTTTCTTTTATTCTTCTTTTTATCTTTGTGGGAAAAATACAGCAACCTGAGCATTGCCTCTCATTTTGCCCATCTGTGCCACAGTGAATTCAAAATCACAAAATCTATCTTCTCTTGTTCAATGCTGTTGCTCTCCTTATTTAAAAGTCCCACATTAATTTAACACCATAAAAAAACCAGTCTAGGCTACACAACTTGAAAGAACTAAATGAAGTGAACTACAGTAGGACCCCCTATCTGCAGGATCACTATCAGCTGATTCATTTATCCACTGCCTGAAAATACTAAATAACACCCCCCAGAAATGCATATTTGTGGCCATTAGAGGGAGCCAGAGACCATACCACCTCCAGAAATGCATATTTGTGACCATTAGAGGGAGCCAGAGACCATACAATGTATAGATTTCAATACGTTTTTCAGCATCCACACGGGGACTTGGAACCAATCCCCTGCAGATACACAATTATAGATTTCAATGCGTCCATGTTTTTCAGCATCCGCAGGGGGACTTGGAACCAATCCCCTGCAGATACCGCAGTCCTACTGTACAAAAGGTAATGTAGAATGATTTGCAAAAATTCCAGATAATACAGGGGGGGGAAGGGTGAATCAAGAGTATTTTCACACTTCCACTAACTAAGAATATTAGGCTAGGAGATACAATAGGTCCCAGGTAGGTAGGTAGGTAGGTAGGTATATTCCAGATAATACAGAGGGGGGGGGAAGGGTGAATCAAAAGTATTTTCACACTTCCACTAACTAACAATATTAGGCTAGGAGATATAATAGGTCCCTTATAGATAGATAGATAGATAGATAGATAGATAGAGAGAGAGAGAGAGAGAGAGAGAGAGAGAGACAGACAGACAGACAGACAGACAGACAGACAGACAGACAGACAGACAGACAGACAGACAGACAGACAGACAGACAGTATAAAAATTTGGGAGTGAAATAGAATAAACAGAACAAACAGTAAATTAACTGTTATGTCTACTATAGATGAGACATTCTATGTAGTTGTAAAATTCAACTTTTATAGCATATTCATTAGACCCAATACACTTTTACCTGTGTTCTCTCAATTTCATAGTATCCTGGCCCAGGAATATCATCCTCATCGTTGTGGGGAGTGCCTTCAAGACCACGACTTGTTAGAGAAAGAAAAGGAGCATATCCACCTGCAAGTAAGGGAGGGAAATGAGACATAGTTCTAAAAATTATTCTTAGAGGACAGAAGTAGTTATAGAAAAGTGGTGTTTAAACTTATATGATATAGTATACTTCATTTACATTAGGTGTATTCATATATATACATACACATGCATCTATGTATGTCTGCATGCACTTAAGTGTCCATTAACATTCACAGAACTGCTCATCTAACTACAAGGGCTTGCATATATATACATATACATGCATGTATCTATGTATGTCTGCATGCACTTAAGTGTCCATTAACATTCACAGAACTGCTCATCTAACTACAAGGGCTTTAAATCGTTTTTCATATACTGTATATATCTCGTTTCCCCACCACACTGCAACCTAAGTACAAGGGCTTTAAATCGTTTCTCATATATATATCTCGTTTCCCCACCACACTGCAAGGTAATTTCAAACTGCAAAAAAGTTTAACAGCAATATTTAACATGGTATTTGAAATTAAAAATTAATGCAATTCAGTACTATACCTGCCCAGACTTCCATCAGCAATGAGCTGGAAAAAATTCTCTTTAGTTTGCAACAGTATCTCTAAGCTATCCTGAACTATTTTTATAATATGAACAATTAAGAAACATCAACACCTATTTGTTTTGTGGGCTAGTATCAGACTTAAGTTGGGTTTGTCAAAGTCTTCAGTGTCCTATAAAGAAAGAACTTTAATGACCATGCTCCAGTGCACAAACAATACATATAAAGTAAAGCAAAGTATACAGTATTGCTTATATATCACATTCTGTGGGCAATTTACAATTCAAGCATGCAGACGGCACATTGCCCCACCCCTACAGGCTGCATACTCATTTTACCAGCCTTGGAAGGAAGGAAGCCTGAGCCCGCCTTAAGTCAGCTTCCTGAATCTGCTAAGATCAAATTCAGGTTGTGAGAAGAGTTTTTGACTGCAGTACTGCAGTTTAACCACTGAAACACAAGATGCACTATGAACCAGCATGTTATGGATGAATTTCTGTTCTAATAGTAACAAGTTAGCATAATACAGCATAACATGACCTGTCGTTTTTCAAATGACAAGAATGCTATACATTTTCTTTTACAGTAACACCAACACATTAGCTTTTAAAGTCTACAGGCTTCGGGAGGAATGATATAAAATGATACCAATTTTTAGAGACGTTAACATTCCCCTCCTGAAAAAAAGGGATAGCAAAGAGCTCTAAATCTATCTCTCTAGACTAAGAGAAGATGTGTTAGAATAACAAATGCAACAAAGTGTTACAGACCAGAGAAAAATTGTTTTCACATAACAATTGATTAGGATCTGAGCTCATAATAACTGATCAAGTTACTTAGGTTTCTTGTTAATACACTTAAAATTATACAACTGATTCCATGGGCCTATTCTAGTTGTAACTGCAAAAACTGTGGGATTTCAGCCACTATGTAGCTGCTACAAAGAACGAAAAATTCATATTGAATTCACCAGGAAAAGAATACTGTGCCTATCATACTGTGACAGGCAAATCAACATGCAATCATGCTCGGAATATTCTCATCATTACACCTTGAAAAGGAATTGTCCAGCTGGAAAAGGTGCAGAAAATGGGAACCAGAACATCAAGAGACTAGAGTAATTCTCCTGGGGGAAAAAACTTACAATATTTCAGGCTTTTCAAGTTTGAGGAAAAAAAGAGCATGGAGAGACAAGAGAATTGCATACCGTTATGCATGTTGTGGAGTTTATTTTTCTTCTTTTGTAATACAAGAACCACAAATCATCCAAAGAAGATAAATAATGGAAGTCCTAAGAAAGACCAAAGGAAAGTACTCCACACCCCCTGTAAACTATAGACTTTACTATAACAAGAAATAATGACTGCCCACCAACATAAACAACTTTAAAAGATATTACACTACAGTAAATAGCTACTAGCATTTATGGCTTTATATCGCACCCAGTACCACAGAGGAACATGCTTATAAGGTTCCCATGGGTACCTCCTTTGTCAATGTGGACGAATTGTTGCTCTAGAACAGTGATTCCCAACCTGCAGTACATGTACCTCCAGAGGTACAAACCAGGACAATTAGGGATACCCCCCCCCAAAAAAAATGAATAATGGTGAAAAAGGCACATCCATCAACCATGTAAGTTGCTTATTTCTATCCTAAGCAACGAGAAACCCCTCATCGTCTTTCTTCTCTCCCCACCCAATGTGCGAGAGCTTAGCCAATCGGGTTTCACTCCAAGGCGGAGTCTGTTCTTGTTCTGCCACTAACCCGGGAGTTTGTGCCACCTGCTCCTTTCCTATCCACTGCAGTTTGTACGGGACAAAATTCCTTATGGGTTTTTTTCACCCCTTCACTGATGCATGCAATCAGAGGCAGTGAGGAAGTGGCTTGAAGACGAGAGGGTGGAGAGTCCCCACTAGCCCCACCCCCTAATATGAAGGATACAATTTATGGAAATGGAGTGTAAAGGGGTATGCAAGTGGGGAAAAGGTTGGGAACCACTGCTCTAGAAAGACGTTCACTCTGATCCAGGACAACATGTTTATATTTTAGACAGGAATCCGACAGCAGACAAATTAACATTCACTAAAGGCCATGTTTTAGAAATACAGTGTATGAACCTGATCACGTTGACAGAAGAGAATTTTTGTGCACTATGTGATCTTCCCCTTTCATTACAGTGGGGTCTCTACTTAAGAACGTCCCTACTTAAGAACAATCCAACTTGAGAACAGCTCCATTTGCTAAATTTTGCGTCTACTTGAGAACAGAAATCCAAGATAAGAACAGGAGTGTGATCTTCCCCTTTCATTATATGGATCCTATATTATTTTATCTCCTCCTAACACCTGTTTCCTGAATTAAAAAATAGAAAAAAAGTATGGATGTTGAGATGAGCAATAGAATTGAGTTGTTTTAATTAATACCATGGCTAACATGCACTTTGGGGAACTGTGTTTGATAAATATACATTTATTAAAAGACCGCATATAAACAACAAACAAACACTTCTCCACCCATAAGGATAAAACTAGAAATCAATAAATTCAATATAGAATGAACAAAAGATCTGCAGGACCAGGAAAACCATAAAAACAATAGTCAGAAGGATCCAACAGCATGTGTCCAATGGATTCTGTTACTTTCTTCCTCTCTTCACAGCCCTCTATGGCACTAAAATGGCTCTGGAGCTTTTCTGAGCCCATCACAGCAAGTATGAGAGTACACAGATGGCTGCAAGAGAGTGTGAGAATCCTCTGCCAGAAGTAGTGTGACATCAGATCCTAACCAAGAGCAGCAAGAAAAATCAAGGTTAAGTCAGTAAGTAGCAAATCCACCAGAAATCAAATTGCCTGCTTCCAAAACACAAAAAAGGCACTCTTTAAGACAAAGTACCCTGTTTCACCCAAAGTAAGACCTAACCTGAAAATAAGCCCTAGTATGGTTTTTAAGGATGCTTGTAATATAAGCCCTACCCCAAAAATAAGCCCTAGTTAAGTGAAACCCCGGCCTCCACCATTGTGCAGCATTGTGCAGCAACCGGAAGATGACATGACTGTAAAATAAAACATCCCCTGAAAATAAGCCCTAATGCTGTGAGGGTTCGTTTGTAGGGGCTTCAGTCACACCAAATAAAGTACTAGGCTGTTTGAACTCAACAACATGGTCTTCATTTATTAAAGTATTAACATTAACGGTAACGTCCTTCTGAACAGGGTTTAACATCTCTTGCTGTCGAAACCTTAACTGCAAGTGTGTCCACACATTATTAACAAACAGGTTTAGTTCTTCTAACTCCCATGGTCCGGATAAGACTTTCTCCTCGACCTGGGTTTCAGCTTCTACTTGTTCTGCTGCTAATAACGGTAAGGTCTCTTCATCTCCACTCCAACCCCAGAGTGGGGAAGCCCCTCTCGGACTGGCCAGCCACAGTCCGGGAAGATCCCCATCTTCTGGAGCTCGGTAAAATGCCATTGCTTCTTGGCCTCGATCTCCCGGGCGACGGCCTCTCGTTCTTCGCAAAGACGCCGCCTCCACTCCTTGGCCTCTGTCTCTCCCCAATAAGATGGGCGAGGTTGTTGCCCCTGCCATCTTCGCCACTCAGCCCCCTCGTGGGGAACCCTTACTTGTTCCCATTTTCCTGTCCAGGGATCCTGGACCCACACCTTCTCCCAACCCCCGCCCCAGGATCTCGTCCCGCTTCTCCTTTATATCTCCTGCACCCGCCTCCACCGAGCGTTTCCCCCCTTCCCGCCAAAACTTCACCCGTTTGCACCACCACACTTAACCCTTTTATGGCCAATACCAGATCCCTGGTATCTACCCCTTGATGTCTCTGTCCCTCTCTGCCTCTCAGAGCCTCTAACTCATTAGTATCCACCTCCTTGTTTTCTTTTCTAGGCGGAGAAGGTGACAGGGAGGTCTGAGTCTCCTTTGAGCGGGTAGGGAGCAACGGCACTCCCACAAATACTTCCTGGCCACACTTAACCCTTTTATGGCTGATACCAGATCCCTGGTATCTACCCCTTGATGTCTCTGTCCCTCTCTGCCTCTCAGAGCCTCTAACTCATTAGTATCCACCTCCTTGTTTTCTTTTCTAGGCGGAGAAGGTGACAGGGAGGTCTGAGTCTCCTTTGAGCGGGTAGGGAGCAACGGCACTCCCACAAATACTTCCTGGCCCTGTCCTGGGGCTTCACAAATGCGTTTTTGGAGCAAAAAATTAATATAAAACCCTGTCTTATTTTCGGGAAAACACAGTAAGAGGAAAAAAGACAGATGTGCTTCAGAGCCTTTCAATTTCACTTTGCCTTCCCGAGGAAGGTATGTGGCTAGGAAGTGCTCAGCTGTCTAAAATTTGGTCAGGTTGTCTACAGTGACAATCTAAACCATGCATATACTTGCTGCACACCTTTTGCAAGCAAAGACATTTCCATAGAATAAAACATACAGAGAAAAACTCTTAGCGATGTCTGTTACAGCTCATATTCAAATAATAATACTCTACTTATTTAGTATCTGACACAGTAAAGTAAATGGAAGACCCTTATGAGGTGTTCAAACTTACATCTGTGCACATTTAGGCATATATAATATAGTTAAAGTGCTGCCGTTCAGATGTAATGGAAAGAAAACATACGTAATTGCTAACTCATATGAGTAAATAATAACACAAAATGTCAAGCACTGAAGATCCAAGCTCTTGATCATTAACTCACACGGAGAATGCATCAACTATAAAAACCTCCTCAAACACAAAGCCATTTTAGAAACCCTGGAGTGGGAAAAGCCATACTAAACTCCTGCTGCTTTCAACTAAGATCGTTGATGCCTAAGACACAGTTGTATGCCAAGCATACAAGTTACCTTTCAAACAAGACATCTGCTTTTCTGGTTTCCATGCCATTATGCCGAAAGTCAATATTGCTCTGATAAACATTAACAGCTGGCTATTCTTTTTTTTTATTATTTTGTAATACATGATCACTTTTCTCCCCCTTATTCATCCAGGATTTGTATAAAAGCAAAGTTTTACCATTCCAATAACCACAGCAGGGAAACTGAATTTTCAGATACCTTATTTAAACACTAACGGCTTATGAACAATTTAAACAGAATTCTTGTGGATATTGGTTTCCATATCCCCATGCTGCTAAGACTGAGCAAACTGTGTTATTGAAAGGACAAAACTGAGAAGCAATTGTTCCATAATAGTGAAGGTTTAGCTGTACTTGTCCTTATTATATATTAATTTGTATTACAGTGCCATTTCAGAACCTATTTTGAGTTTGAAGCAGCAGCATGTCACCAACTTCTCTTAAATCCATACACCAGCTTCTCTTAAAATCTTATTCAATTTAATCCTACCATCAGCTTTTATCTCCCTCTATTTAGAATACTTCTCTGCTTCAGCTGAAAGCCAAGAATAATTTCTCCACAAATTTCATACCTTTCAAACTAGGAAAGAATGCAAAGTTAAATTTGCAGTCACGAAAAGCTTGCAAGTCATAATTATTGTTTGTAAAGAAGCACAACCTAATATAATTTAGATTGTATTAAGTTGCAACTTTTGAATTAGGTTTAGTTTTGCATATCATCCCAATGCTAAACATGTTTATTTTGACATCATTCCCACTGAGTTGGGGGGGGGAGTTTCAGCTGTCTAAAATTTAGTTTCTCAAATCAATGAGCACAGAAATTGAAACAGAATCATCTATAAATATTATTAATTTGGGTTATAGTTTATATTTGTCTATATTGTAAGGATATTTGACAGGATCCTCTACTAGGATTAACTGAAATTATGTCCCAATGTGTTCAATGGGATTTTATTCCAGGGACAGAATAAAGTGTGCGATAACAATCCTATACTGTATATACTTACCAAATAAATAACTCTTATTAAAGTCAGGCACTCAAAAGACCATTTTACCTTGCTGTTACTGTGTGACAGTAACTTTCATTGAAGTTCAGAGATTTATGTCTGAACAACCATGTTATTATTTGACTGCCAACATGACTTCCAAAACAAACCTACAACATACTGGATTCATGTAACTGTTGATATCCAATAGGTCTCCAGGTAGAAAATATCCATTTAACAATACAAACTTAGCCCTTCCTTCCTTTGCGTTACACACTTTTACACAAGATTCGAGATACGTGAAGAAAGCCATACTTTATGATCCAGTGCAGAGGTGTGAAAATATTTTCACATGCAAAACTAACCGCCTGATCCGAAGTCTATTTACAGTTCTTTTTTCTAAGCCCCAAAAAAATCACTGAGTATATTTGTCTCTTTCTATGACCTTCTGCCTACCTCTGTGATGGGATTTTCTGTACACTTATTTTTCTATCATTCCAAATGAGGTATTTTGGATAAATATCCACAGGAATCACACACAAGGTTGCAATCTCATACACAGTACTTGGCAATAATTTTTTCATCTTAAATTAATTTTTAAAAAACATAAGGGGGGTAGTAAAACAAACCATGTAAACACAGCTTACCTATAAAAGCCAGTATTATTTGTAAAATAATAACAATAACAATAACAATAATGATAATGATAATAATCATCGTCATCATTGAAGCCTGATGAGAATTTAAAAGGCTTGCATGCTTCCTTGGAAGTGAACCTCTAGTAAATTCAATGGCAATTACTGCAAGCAAGAGGCAGGATATAAATGAAAAAAGTAAGTGAATCAGGCTGTGTTCTGTGCATCTGAAGAAGTGCACTGCAGTGCACAAAAATTATGCAAAATAAAAACTTGCAGTCTTTCGCTTGCCAGAAGAGCCTTTATTACTTTCAGCAAACCTATTCATTGAATTGGACCGCAACACCATAACTCTTATTGCAGCGTGACTACACAGTGAACTCAATAAGGTTCATTTCCAAATAACCATGGTTTACTGTCTGGACAGCTGAGTGGTTTGGGTGTGGAGACAGAGGCTGGGAGTTCGATTCCCCACCGTGCTTCCTGGATGAAGACCCAGCCCGTGGCAAGTCATGGGCAAACTGCACAGTCTCAGGACGGAGCCACAGCCCATGCTCTGTATAGCTTTCTCTATAATCCGCGTTATTCAGCATCCGCAGGGAAGGGGCTTGGAAATTGGGGGAGGGGGGTTACTACTGTATTTCTTTCCCTTCCATTTTGCCTACAAGGTCAAGTGGAGCACAGTTTGGAAGTAAGCAACGCTCCGGGAGATTGTGAGACACACGTAGGAATGAAAAGTTTGCAGCTCCTGCCCCCACAGCTCGTACACGTTAAAGGGCAGTCAAAGCTCAAGATGAGAGCCGTTATACAGTATTTCGGATTCCCCTTTTCCCCTCGTTTGCATAACTATCTCCTAGCTACCAAGGCTGCACTCTCTCTCTCTATATATATATATCTGCACAAAGGGGGGCGGGCGCTACCGCCAATGAGCGCTGAAGCCAAAGTAATCCCTATTAGTCTTTTCGAAGCCACACAAAGATGAAGGAAAAGAAAGGGGCGTGTGTGGAAGCGTCCTCCTTCCCTCCCGGCTCACCTCGCAGCTGCCTAGTCCCCGAGGGCAAGTCATAGCAGCCGGGGCCCAGGCGGGAGCCGGTGCAGCCGACCGTCAGCGTCAAGGCGCGCGGAGCCCGGTCGTACATGCCTGCCCGCCTGCTATACCCAGGCCTGCCGTCGCCATGGCGACCGAGGGCCCCAACAGACAGGTCGGTCCCACCCCTTCCTTGCAGCCGCCCGAGGCTGGGCTGCCCGCTTTGGACCGGCGAGAGCCTTCGAGGTGGCTCCCGGGGGATTCCTCCCTGCCGCCCCTCAGGTCGTCACCAAGCGGCTCTTTTGGGCAGACCTGTGGGTGCCCCTTTGCAGCATGAAAGCTACGTGACTTTTAGGGCCCTAGCGATGATGCTTTATTAAACTCTTTATACTCGTTTTTCTTAGATTTAAAAAGGTTGCCGTTTAATGATGTCATCCACGCTTGTACACTCATTGTTTTCAGCTTTATATATTGTCTTTCAATGATGTAAGCCGCCTTGGGTCCTTTTTAAGGAGAAAGGTGGGATAATAAATATTTTAAACCAACCAATCAATAAATTTAAGGGGCAGAGTTAGAAGAGAGTTCTCTGGCTCCCAAGCAAAACGCTTCATTTGTTTCTGACTCTTTTAAAGCAACTCTTCTGTTCCTACCTAGGCTTGACTTTCCTCATGTTTTTGTGGCTTCCGACACCGTGTTCTGATTTGGTACTCAGCCCTGTTAACAAGATAATGGATTTGTTTTTAATTTATTTTAAGGGAAATTTTTAATCCATTTTAATGAGTTTTCGTATGGATGTTTGCCTTCTGCCTTACTCATTATTGGAAAGGTGGAGTTGAAACATCAGAAGAACAACGTGAGCTGTGTTTATTTTAGGTCTGGCCTCTTTCCTTTTAAGTCTTTGTAATTTTGTATTTCATTTGTATTTTACACTTACATTATGAATTATCAGCCTGATTAATAGCCTAATCAGTATAGGAATCCGAGTAAATAACCATAGGGTTGGGCAATGAATAATCAGCTTTCAAAGGAAATGTATACAGTATAAGAAATAAATGTTAGAAGAGTAATTAGAACTGTTAGCATCCATTCTTCATAGTAAGACTCTTACAACTTGCTTAAAATATTAATGTTGTCTGTATGACATGTCACAATAAGACCTGGTTGTTAGATTCATTCATTTACCACTTACTGATCAGAAAGCCATCATACTCACAATTTGCAGGAAACAAGATACACACTGACTGGTAAGATTCAGACATTTAACATGCAAGCAAGCCATGACACATGCTAAAGTTAATAAAAGAGAACAAATTATAGAGATATTTAATATAAGGCTTTTAAAACTTGGCTATAGCTCATCAAATGCCTGGGAGCAGGGAAATACCTTTTCTTGGTACCAAAAATACAGTATTGCTCTGCGTATGAGGTGGGACGAACAGAGGACAGTATTCCATATTTGGGGGGAGGACACACCCCAAAGGACTCATTCTCCTGTCACAAGCCTGCAAACATTTCTCAGAGGAAGAATTCAAGTATTGATTTTTGGGGACAGGTGGTTTCAAAGGGGGAGATACTGGGTCAGGTATTGGGGCTCCATGTTGAATAAAGCTTTACAGGCTGAACCCAAAACTTAGGCCCAGCAACATGAGTCGTGTCCGATAATCAGGCCAATGTTAAGTTATGAGATCTTCTGGTTCCTGTAATCAATCTGGGTGCTGCATACTTCATTGATTTTACAAACAGACTTTAAACGTGACCCCCATAAGTATACGACATTGCAATCATCTTTTCCAGAGATTACTGACTGTATGCTGGTGAAATTATTCTAAGGAATGTCGCTACCAGCCAAAGTTGACAGAAGACATTCTGCTCCACTGTGGCCAATCTTGAATCCAGGAAAGCGCCCAAGCAACAAAACCATTCCTTCAGGAGGAGAGCCACTCTCTTTCAAACAGAGATCATCAGTATTCTAGACAAGAAAAACCACGTCCTACTATCACCACAGTCTTGTTTAGACTGAGCCTGATCCTCAGCGAGTTGATTGCCACAGCTAGGCACTGGCTCAGCATATCCACTTTCTCAGATCTTGAACATGAACATCAAAAACGCAGCTACACATTAGTGACATACCTACATATTAATGACCATTAAAGGTTCCCCTTGACATTTTCAGTCCAGTCGTGTCCGACTTTAGGGGGCGGCGCTCATCCCATTTTTCAAGCCATAGAGCTAGCGCCTGTTCAAAGACAGTTTTCCGTTGTCACGTAGCCAGTGTAACTAGGGAACGCCGTTTTATCTTCCCACCGAGGTGGTACTTATTTATCTACTCACATTGACATGCTTTCGAACTGCTAGGTTGGCGAGGAGCTGGGACAAAGCGACGGGAGCTCACTCCGTCGCGTGGATTTGATCTTACGACTGCTGGTCTTCTGACTCTGCAGCACAGGTTTCTGCGGTTTAGCCCACAGCGCCACCATTTGTAAAAGGGGCTCAGCAATAGCTTCTATGTATCTTGCCATGCACGTAAGAGCAAAACCACTGCACAGCAACACCATCAAGTATGCTATAGAATAGAGTAAGCTGAGAGATAGTAACTAATGTGATTGGTTATTTCTGAACCTAGATCTCCATGCTCCGAATTGCATCACACTGTCTCTTGCCATTAAGCTACGAACATTAAAATAAAGTTATTCCCATAAAACAGCAGGAAGATTGCTAGCCAACTGCAAATAATTTAATTAACCGATTGATTGATTAATTAAGATATCCTACCTATCTCCTTTAATGGCATCTGTGTACAGACTGGATTAAAAATGTTCAGTACTACAAACACAGCACTAGGTGGTGTCCAGTCCCTTTGTTTTTGATCAATACCCAAAACAATTAGCTCTCCTGTTTCAGCAATGCCAGTGTGGCAAATGCACAGTTCAATACATGAACTCTCATTTAGAATGATTTAAAATAACACAGCACTAGAAAGACTGCATATTGTCAGGGTGGGGGCATGAAAGAGTGCATTCTGCAGCAAGAACAGCTGATAGCATACAGGAATTTAAGCTTTTTCAGTTAAATGATGAACAGGTTATTATTCTGTGACTTATTCAGGTTACATATTTGTCTACCAACCAATTCTCAAAATAATACTAAGAAATCTAGGTTTACATTAATTATCCTCATGCCCACATTCCTAATTAGATAGCATCTTTTACAGCTTGTCCTATTTGGACTTGCAGAGCAAGGTATTTAAACTTTGTCATAGTGATGAACCACTTCAGATGTAATTGTGATCTAAATGGGTAACCTTGGGGTGCTCATTCTTTTCCTCAAGACAAAGGAAAATTGGGAGCAGAACGTCAACACTTCTAAGTGCTCACTGTTTCTTTGAAAAACATAATTATCTTCCAAATACATGGCATGCTAATAAAGGATTTTACATAGGCCAGAATTTATAAGGTTCCAGTAGCATATTCCTAAACAACTGGAGGCACAGACCAATCAGCTTCAGGTCCCTGGCCTTTAATTCAGTGTGTTGGTCACCTGAAGCCATTTTCCATAGCCACACAGGATAGAAATAGATAAGACTACAAATGGAAAGCAAAGAACTAACATATGGAAATAACTTGGTTGTGTCTGGTGAACCACTCACTTGGATGGGACTTTGAAGGAAATCTAGTCCAGCCCACTGCTCAATGCTGGCCCTGTGCCATATTTTCTGCTGAGGGCCACATTTCTTCAACAGATGAATAACCATTTAGTTGCTCCCTATGTTTCTCCTAATGTTTAGTTGTCACCTATGTTCTTGCAATTGCCAACTACTACTTCCAGTCCTGTATTCTGGAACAACAAAGAACAGGTTGTGTCCTTTTTCCGCATAAGAAAGTGTTTAGATAGTGGAAAACAGCCATCATGACACTGTACCTTCTCTTCTTGAGACCAATTAGCCAGCAGCCAACCATTTGAAAAGTTTTTCATAGAACTTGGTCTCTAGAATCACTCTCACATCCACCATCCTGGTCACTGTTTTCTGGATACGTTAAGTCAAGGTGAACTCTATTCAGCACTGAAATTAGAGAACCAAGCAAGGAAAATAGTCTGCAGAATGACTCAGCTACTTCTTAGGATGCCTAGGAATAAGAAAATTACCAATCCTTCAATATTACATGGTGCAGTCAACTAAAATATTTACTGGAGGAGAGATAGAAAGCCACATCGTTCCAGTCGTCCTAAACCAAAATGGAATCACTGTTGAGAATACCTTAGAACACATAATATCACACTGTTGTGTAATTTTGCACTGGAATAACCTGGATCAAGCACTGGAAACATTTAATTTAAACTCACTGAAAGTTCAGGCTTCCATTTTGCTTTAGGAATCTTGGTGGAGGGAGCCTTTAATAGTAAAAAAAAAAAATCATTTCTGGATTGCCACTCAGGACCACCACCAGAAATCTGGTTGAATTTTTCTATTACAGTTAAAGGCTCCTCTCCTCTCCATCCAAAGGCTCCAATAGGATTGCCCAGGGCAACAGGGAGCCCCAAGGAGCCTCAGAATCTAAAGAGGGGACAAGAATTAAATTACACGTTTCCAGTTCTTGATCCAGGCTACATCCATACAAAGTTATACAACCGGATTTTGAGCACATAATCTCAAGCCCAGATTTTGTCTGTGTTTTCTACCTTTCGGCCTCTCATTTTCTGAGTTAATATGATGGCTACAGTAGAAGGGAAGTTAATACAGTAGAAGGGACATATTTTCTCCCTCTACTTATATTAACTCAGCGTGAAATGGAATGGAGCACCTCAGTATTCACCATGAAAAAAAAAACTGTGACTATTCCATAACAAGTGTTGTTGACTACTTTCTCCGCCCATCTCCCACATAGCAGTTTCTGCTTATGAGAAATAGTTGAGGACAGACTTACACTACCATGGGGTAGCTTATTCTGGTCATAAAAAAGAATATTGGGACACAACAAGGACAACAGCAAATATGTGAATTCCATGTATTTTTGTTTATAATAGAAAAGTCTAGAAAGCTTTCTTGATGAGCGCAAGTCAAAAGGAGGAATATTCTTTCTTGCTATTTTGCTATTATTTCTTAAATTGTCTAGCTGTCACTTTCAATGGATACAGAGTTAGTGAGGTGCAGAGTCTAAGAATCATCATGTCCTATTCCATCTCTTTAGGATACAGATGTTGCTAAGACTCTAAGGGTCTCCAGGATCTTAGCACCGACTCCTCTGATACTCTGGAACCAGGTAAAATGAGCCTTAAAAGTACCCTCTGTTCTGCAGTTCCATCGTGAAGGTTTATCTTCTCAGTAAAGGCTGTTGACTCCAAACTCAAAGGACAAA